TTGGTCTTTTTCCTTTTTCTTGGTACCGGGGATTGAACTCACGACTGCCTGCTTGCAAGGCAGGCGCTTATGCCGCTGAGCTAAATCCCCAGCCCCTACTTTTCTTGATTCAAGTGTTTAAGTTTTAAATAGGTTAACAAAAGTTAAAGATTTGAATTGACTGCTTTCCCCTAAAGAGGATGAGGTAGGGCTTTGAGTAAATTGCTTAGAAAATTGGTTAAAAGTAGTGTTCAGTTGCCAACGTGTGTATTGAGAGACTAAGTGGAAGGGGATATAGGGAAAGATTAGGAAAAAAGAGGAAAGGAAGATGCTGTGAATCAAAACAAATGCCTTTATCTGGAAAAGTACACCTTTACTTTTATCCTTACCTGGTTGATAATTTCTTTTTGAGGCAGAGTCTGGCTGTGCAGTCCAGGCTGGCCTCGAACTTGTAGCAACTCTCTTTGCCTCAACCTCTCAAGTGCTGGGATTACAGGTGTGTGCCATCACACCTGGCTGTTAAATATTGAACATTGCAGGCCCATGTCATCCCTCAGTAACACGCACTTTAATATGTTTCTTTAAAAATAACTGAAGACAGTCGTGAGTTCGATTCCTGGTACCGATAAAAAGGAAAAAGACAAAAAAAAAAAAAAAAAAAAAAACTAAAGATTTAAAATCAGCTGTTTTGGTAGCAAAATTGTGGTTTGAAAAAAAAAATTTTTTTTGGCCTTGCTGGAGATTGAATTAAGGGCCTCACACATTCAAGGGAAGCTTGAGCTATTCCCCCCTTTTTTGAATCTTAATACTGAAAAGCAAAAGAATGCCTTTTCATAGTATGTTAAACATGAACAAAAGCACATTTAATTTTGTAGAAGGCCAAGTTCATATTTGCTTTAGTATCATGCTTCCCAGAGATGTTATTTATTTACTTTGTGGCATAGGGCATTGAACCAGGACTTCTCGAACACTAGGTAAGTGCTCTATCACTGAGCTACATCCCTTTCCCCTCAAGTGTGATAATAACAAAATAAGCTAATATTATGTGCTATAAATTCTTACTTGGCTAAAAGGCATGTCCTAGTTTAATTTAGGGACTCACAGGTTAAAAACCAGCTCAGTGTTACACAGCTAATAGGAAGTGTAGCAGGAGTTTCACACAAACTGTGTCTTGCTACCTTTATAACCTTGCTACTCAGTCTGCCCCACAGACGATAAGGAATTTGTGACTTGGGAACATAAAGAAACGCAAAATCTTTGCTAAGACTTCCTGACTCAAACCTGCATTTTTTTTTTTTTTTTTTGTACCGGGGATTGATCTCACAACCTCATGCTTGCTAGGCAGCTACTTGTGCCGCTGAGCTAAATCTCTGGCCCTCAAACCTGCATTTTAACAAAATTGCCCAAATAAGTGACTTGTGTGTTTAACCTTGAGGTTTTGAAATCCTGTGGATTTTTCCTAGTTTCCATCCATGTGGATTATCTGTTAACATTTCCTGCAAGGGGAGGAAGAAAACTCGAATTAGTCAGTGTCTCCAATAGTTCAAATTGTTATCCAGCTGCATTTTGGATTCTGTTTAACCCAGAGAAGCAACTGACTACTAACTCAGCTTGCAACATTTAGTGAAGGTCTTATATTGCCAAGTACAGCTCAGTGTTTTTACAGCCTTTACTCTGTGACTGAACACCTCACATATATACTCGGGTTCATTTCAGATTAAGGTAAAAATAACATTTTCTAAAGAAACCTGAAATTTCTGGGATAGCTGATGTTTTTAGATGTCTAGCAAAGATAATCACATTTGTATCAACTGACTTCCTTTCTAATTTGAATTTTTTTTTTTTTTTTCTTTTTTGAGACAGGGTCTTGCTTTGCAGTTCAGCTGGCCTTGAGCTCACTTTGTAGCCCAGGCTGGTCTCGAACTCGCAGTGATCCTCCTGCCTCAGCCTCCCAAGTGCTGGGATTACAGGCATGAGCCACCATGCCCAGCTTCTAATTTGAATTTTTTTTGTGTGTATTTTTATTGGTTTCAGGGATCGAACTCACGACCACATGCTTGCAAGGCAGGCGCTTATGCCACTGAGCTAAATCCCCAGCCCCTAATTTGAATTTTTGAACATAATTATTTTGTCACAGAAGGTAAGAAAAGAGAATTGTAACTTAAGACTGCATGCAGAATAGCACTGTCCAGTAGAAATATAAAGCAAGATGCATATAATTTTAAAATTTCTAGTAGCCAGCCAGATGTGGTGGCACACACCTGTAATCAGCACTTAGGAGGCTGACCCAGGATAGAATCAGTTTGAGGCCAGCCTGGGATGCATAGTGAGTTCAAGGCCAGCCTGAACTACATAGACTTTATTTCAAAAAAAACAACAAAATTAGTGGCCACATTTAAAAAAAGTTAATATATTTTAGCTAGTCTGGTATATTTAAAATACTATCTTTTCAACATATAATCAATATACCACTGATACATATATAGTATGTCCTAAAAAATCTGATATGTTGGGGCTGGGGATTTAGCTCAGCGGCATAAGCGCCTGCCTTGCAAGCGTTTGGTCATGAATTCCATCCTGGTACCGATAAAAAAAAAAATCTGGCATGTATTTTACACTTAATTCCTGTATTTGCATGCTAAATTTTCATTGTTTAAAATGTGAACTCTGGCTGGGAATGTAGCCTTGTAGAAGGGTGCTTGTTTAGTCTGACACTCTGGGTTCAACTCCCAGCACAACAAACAACAACAACAAAGTATACTACAACTAAAACAATAAAATTATGTTTTAATGAAATGTAGGGAAGGAAACGCGCAAATCCTTTTCCTGCCTGTCTCAAAGGGTCATGGCCAAACCCCTATAACAAAAGATGATAAATTACCAAGAGGAAAGCATAATACATTTATTTGATAATAGTTTTAGGTGAAATAGGAACCTTCAGAATGAAGATCCAAAGACTTGGGGTGGCTGGCCAGATTTAATGCTTAGGTTCAATTAAGTATGAATTACACTATGTAGAAATGACTGGATAAGAAATATGATTTAATGCTAACAGGTAGTGGGGAAACCCGGCAAGGCCTGTCTGTTCAGTCTTGTTTTTTCTGTGCAGTGTTCCTTTCTTCCTGGTACAGTGCAGGACCCCTTCTGAAATGAGTTTTAGGACTTTCTCTGAGAAAAGGGAAGCCAGAGAAAGAAATGTTTTCCTGTGCAGTACTAGGTGTTGAACCCAGGGCCTCACATGTTCTAGGCTGCGCTAAATCTCCAGCGTAAAGGCTGGGGATTTAGCTCAGTGGCATAAGCACCTGCCTTGCAAGCAGGCCGTTGTGAGTTTGATCCCCGGTACCGGTAAAAAAAAAAAAAAAAAGCTAAATCTCCAGCCTTACATACTTATTTTGAGCTAAGGTTTCACTAAACTGCTCAGGCTGGCCTGGAATTTCGATCCACCTGCCTTAGCCTCTTTGAGTATTTGGGATTACCGGTGTCAGTCATCACTTCTGTCAGAAAATTTCTCTTTCTCTCTCTCTCTGTCTCTCTTTTTTGTCTTTTTGAGGTAGGGTCTCTTTATGCAGTTCAGGCTGGCCTTGAGCTCACTTTGTAGCCTAGGCTGGTCTCGAACTCACACAATCCTCCTGCCTCAGCCTCTTGAGTGCTGGGATTACAGGGGTGAGCCACCACTCCCGGCCCAGAAAATTTCTTTATGGCCAGCTCCAAGGCAGAAAGCTGGGTTAAAATTAAAGTGTTGAGGCTAATTTGCTTTGAGGCAAAAAGGCCTCTTGGTTTCTAGGACCAGCCTTGGGGAAGATAAATTCAATGCAAAGGAGAAAGCGGGAGCCAAGGATATAACTCAGCGGCACAAACATGAGCCTGGCAAGTGCAAGGTTGTGAGTTCCATCCCTGGTACAAAAAACAAAAACAAAAAACAGGACAGATGGTTAACGAGAAATTTTGCTTTTGAGGATTTCACTTTGGAGTACTGTTTTCTGAGCCCTAACAGGAAAATTGTTACTTAACTTTTAAAATTTAAATATATATTAGATTACAATTTAAGTACTTCAGTTCCATCAGCTACTTGTATCACATAGGGTTTGAGAATAAAGAATAAAGAAAAGCCATTTGAGGAATAAAGCATTTACTGATGTTTTTCCTTCTCCTGATATTTCTCTGGCTGGTATTAACCTTCCTGTCCTTTATTAGTGGTTCACAATCAACTTCTTTCCTCTCTTTTTGAGATGGTCTCACGTTACAGTCCAGGTTGACCTTGGGCTCAAGAGCCTCCGGCCTCAATCTGGGTCTACACAGTCCATTTCTGAAACCTTTAGCTACATTAACCGCTCTAGAGTTAGAACCAATCTTTTTCTGATGGCCTAACTCCATGTTTTTATAACCTGCATGCCTTTGAGGAAAATCAGGTAATCTGACAGTTGGTGTGGCAAATGACCCAGACGGTACACAACTTTATATGCATACCTCAATCACCTAGAAACTTGCTTTAAAAAACACGGATGTTCCACCTCTGCTCACCTAGTGTATGGTTCACGAAGTTTAAAGTGAACCCTGGACATCTCCATATTAAGTGTACAGCTTTTAGGGTCTCCGAAATTGAAGAACCTTTGGGACCACGAGACTCAGCAAGTGACTACCAGTGACAGAGGACTGGAATTTAACACATCCTGCTGCTGCCACGCGTTCGGTTTTCTCTGCCTGTTATTCCCCATGCGGTTGCTATGCTTCTGCAAGAAGGCTTTTGCCAGTTGTTAAGCTCCTTCCGGGATTCCCCCTGGTAGGGTCTCTTCCGAGGAATGAGACCTGAGCTCGCAGAGGTAGCCCTTAGGCCATGTGACTACAGGATCGCTCGCCAGCAGCGCGGCCATGTTTGAGGCGGGCACCAACCTCGTGCCCCCGCAGCCGGGACGCGGGCTAGGGACGCGGTTACCAGGACTTAAGATGGCCACCTCTGCCACTCGCCAGCCCACTGGCCAGTCCGCTAGCCCGCCAGCCGGCGAGCCCGCTCCTAGCCTCCTCCCGCCACGCCTGGGACGGACTCCAGCTGTCGGCCGGAGGCGGGGCGTCCGCCTCCCTCCGGCCGCCGCCAATCAGCGCGCAGGGCTGGCTCGCCCGGGGCCGCCCGCGCGGGGTGTGTGAGGACGCGCTCGGGCTGCGGGGTGCAGGAGCCGGGGAGCGGGAGCGTGGTACCTGCTGCTGGCCGGCGGACGCAGAGCATCGGGCGCGCGCGCGGTGGCTGGAGGCAGGAAGGAGTCATGTCGTCCGTCAGGTAACCAGCGGGCGGGGGTTAAAGGGCTCCCGGGCTGGCGTTAGTCTAGCGACCACCCGAAAACTGTCGCCCCTTCTCTAGGGTGGGCTGCACCCTCCCTTGGCCGTAGGACCCCTCTTGTTAGAGGTCCCCTTTGCACTTTTCATCAGGGCGTTTCTGCTTTCCTTGGAAGTTTTGGGGTCTGTGACACGAGGCGGTGCCCAGTGAGTCGCCACTGGGTTGAGGTGACCCGCGCGCAGATTCTAGGGGTTGAAGCCTGCCCGTGTGTGTGGTGGATTTCTCGTGAAAAAATGCAGCTCGCTCGCTCCTTCCTCCCTTCGCGTCTGAGGTGACCCCGGGCCCCAGGAGGGTGATATGCAAAATGTGTGCCCATGCACACGTGTCATGCCTTCTGATAGAACTTCATGGTTGGCCATGAGCAACCCTGCAAAGTTGTCCTCTGTCTGATGCAGATTGCTTCACCCCAAGTTATGAAACTGTCCCTAAAATATTTGCTTATGGCTGGCATTGTTAATTTGGATTTCAAAGGTGCTGTTTACCTACTTTTATTTGAGAGTCTCGAGGGAAATGCATTTTGTGAGATGTTGGGCATATAACGAAAGCAGGGAAACGCTCACCAATCAGGCTTCTAGAATTTGGAAGATCCTTTTTGGCGGATGGCTGTAAGATAATGGGGCTGTCCACTTTCTGCGTGTAGCCTTCTGTGAGTGTTTAACTTCAGCAAATTCAACTGTTTATAAAAAGAGATAAATGGCCTTATTTACTCAGTTTTTTGGACCCATATCTTTTAAAGCAGACGTTGGCCTTCATTGTTTCAAAGAAAGGGAGGCCCCAGCACAGATATGAAATGAAATAAATAAAAGAAGGTAATTTTGGAGCTGTGTGTTTCCAGGGGCCTAAATACTAGTGACTTAATGACTTCTCTTATTTTGATATTTTGGTTTTCTGAAATTTTGATTACACAATATTTAAGAGAGCTTTAGACTCTAACCCTCAGGTAATAGAAGGTAACATGCAACAGTGCTGAGCTTGAACCTAGCCTTTTTTCTTGAATTGCATAATTCTGTACTAGCATAGAAAAAGAATACTTGTCTCATTATCCAGGAGAAACTCAGGAGCTGAAATATGGATGGCCACATGGGAAGGTTTCACAGTGAATTACATTGCAGCGTATAAGTCTAGCTTATAAAACTAACAGTACAGTGTGGCAGCATGAATTAGGATAACTCTTAATTCCCCTCCTCGTCGCCCCTATTTTCATTCTCATCTTCACAGACTGCTGCTCATTAGGTTTGCTGCTCCAGTGCTCTTTGGGTCAGGATTTTTTTTCTGCTTCAGCCTTGGGTATCGAACGCAGAGCACTTTATTACTGAGCTACATCTGCAGCCCTTGCAGTTTTTTAAATTTTGCTATGAAGTCTTGTGAAGTTGCCCAAGCTGGGCTCAACCTTTTTTTGTGTTTTAGTCTTCCAAGTAGCTGGGATTACAAGTGAGTGCTTCTGTGTCCACCTCAAATTTCTTGTGTTGTTTCTGTTTTGATTTACGCTTGTTGTACCTCTGGCCTTCCACATGTTGACCATCATCTTCCTGGCCATTCCTCGTTGGAGGAAAAATCCAACTTCAAAGTTTCTGCTGTGTAGCAAGTGACAGCAAAATGTACCTTTAAATGTAGAGGTTGAATGGTGGTTGTTTTCAGAAGATTGATTTAAAATTGATGCCACCTATTTGGACATACTTTGAAAAGATAGATAACTTGATGTATGCTCACCCAGGTGCTAGTCTGTGTTTTACCAAGTCTTCGGCTCTTATGATATAGCTCAAAACAAGCTCTTTTAGATGTCACCTAAACCAGTGACATTTTTTATCCAAGGAACTGAGACAGAAAAATGTAGGGTTTTTTTTTTTTTTTTTTTGCAAAACTTAGTTATTGGCAAAGTAAGGAATTCAGTCCAGACCTCCATGATTTAGTGCTCTGCATGATGCCTAAAGAAACAATATACTGCTTTCCTGTAAAAGCTGCTTCTGTATTATGAAATCTGTAGTATTCTTTTGATTTTCTCTCTTTGGTCTTGAAAGAAAATTGGTAACAGGTTCAGTGGTAGGTAGGGGATGGAACCCCATGTGGTGTGGGTTATTTGGAAGTTCCCAGTAAGGGTTGTAGTTAGGGCCATTATATATCTTTAGATTTTTTTCAGTCATGACATGAGCCAGGTTCTGATTTTATGCCCATTCTAAGGGTAGCCCCTAAAATAGGTTTTATGAACCTTTTTAACTAGTGAGGAGAGTGTCACAATCTGACTTCATGGCCAGTATTCTTGCTTTTATACCAAATATATGTGACTCTTTGCCATGACTAGGGAAGGATATAGGATTGGAAGAGCAGTCTTTAACACACCTACTATCCAACCAAGGACCTTTTTCTGAGTTAGTGATCTTCGTTTTCTGCTCTGGACATTTGTTTTGTGAAATAACTCAGTACAAGTGCTACTAATAAGTGTTACTGGGTAAGTATAGAAATATGTTTAAATTTTAAATCATTTTATAAATGAAATATGACCTTTCTATTAAAAGCACTTTGAATCTAGTAGACAATGATGTCTTCTGAAAAGACATGTTTAAGCCTTACATTTTAAACAGGAGATAAACTTAGCTAATTCTCTATTTTTATAGTTAAAGATACTAAAGCACAGGGCACAGGGGCTGGGGATTTAGCTCAGCGGCATAAGCGCCTGCCTTGCAAGCAGGCAGTCATGAGTTTGATCCCTGGTACCGATAAAAACGAAAGACAAAAAATAAATAAATAAATAAAAGATACTAAAGCACAGAGATAATGTGATTTGTTCATGTTCACGTAAATAGTTGCATATTTTGAGCTAGAATGTAGAGCTAGCTCATTTAGAACCCTTTTGAGTGTAGCATTCAACTATTAGGGCATCCTAAATAATGATTTTATTTTTAGTTTGTTTTCAAAAGGGATCTTACTATGTAGTTCGTGCTGGCCTTGAACTCACAGTAATGCTCCTGCCTCAGCCTCCTGCAAGTGTTGGGATTACAAGCATGTGCTGCCATGCCCCGATGGGCGAATGATTTTAAATCAAACCTCTTCTGATACTTTATTTTTTTCTAGTTTAAAGTCTTTGAATTTCTTGGCTGGAGAGAATCTGACTTTCATCATTTGTATTCTACTCTACATAGAATGTATAAATTCACAGCCTCTGAGAACATCATCCTCAAACAACTTTTATCCCTTGTTATGTGTCTCATATTCCAGCTGGTCTTCATTTGGGAAATGATCGAATTTATTTAATAAGCTGACACTTTTGTTATTTTTAATTGGCTCAGTGGGAAAGTTGAAGCCTGAGTTATGTTCAGGAGACATAGGAAAACATAGATCACCAGAATTCAAAGAGGAATTTAGCAAAATTTTCTCTCCCCCTCCTCCTCATCTTTCCCCCCTATCTCCCACCCTCTGTCCCTCTTTCCCACTGTCTCCCCCTTCCCCTCCTCCCCTTCTTTTTCTTCTCTCCTCCCCCCTCCCCTCCCCCCTTTTCCTCTTTCTCTCTCTCCCCTTCTCTCTTTCTCTCTCTCCTTCTCTCCTCCTTTCCCCTCTCTCCCTCTCTCCATCTCTTTCTTTGTACTGGATCTTGTGTCCAAGTGGATGTTACGTCTTTCTTATACAGTGGTTGACGCCAAGATAGAATTTAGATCTCCTGGACATAAATAACATAGAACTCATAAAATAACCCTCTGAATATTGCCTTGTTTTCTGAACATGGGTGTCTGGTCTGGTCTGGTTTGCTACCCTGCTTACCGGTTTGGTTTGAGCCAGGGAAGACTGGGCAGATGAGTTGGGAAGACTGTCTTCTGCATTGCCAAAGAGCCCTTTCTTTCCTGCCTAGACAGGCTGGGTTTAGACTAAGACTATTCTGGGACCTCTGGCTATGACTACCCTACATAATGATTCTGGAACCACTTCTGTGGGGTAGGCCTACACAGGAAAATGTATGTGGGCTGTGGGTGGGGTCCTGGGGTATTTTTTCTTCTAACACGAAAGACTTTGAGGTACATCCAACAGATTTTGCCAAGCCACTCAGATGGAGAACATTCATATGGAGACTAAAATTACACTAAGACTGAAACTTTCTTCATTGAATTGGTTTCTTTAGAGCATTTAAACAACTTTCAAACTTATTTTAAGACCTATGGGGTTTTTTAAATAGGAATAGTAAATTTCAGATTACTGCACAAGTTTTTTTTTTTTTTGTTAAATTATGAGATTTCTTAGTGTATCAAATAAGTTTTTAAATGAAAGTGAAATTGTTTCATTGGAAAAATTTTGGATACCCAGCATAGGAATCCTTTTCTTACGTGCAGTGTTGTCAGCTGTTAATGCTACTATTTATAAATAGGTCATCTTTGTTTGAAAAAACAGTAAGCTTTTCTGACTCCAAATCTTTGTAGCCCCAGTATTGCTATATTAAACAGAACTGTTGGAAATAAAACTGGAACTCAGACGATTGCCTAGACTGATGTTAACCCTTTTCCTTTTCTTTAAATTTTGTTAATAACAGTCATGTCAGCCAGGTGTGGTGGTGCACTCCCATAATCCTGGCACTCTGGAGGCTGAGGCAGGAGGATTGTTTCAAGTTGGAGACCAGCCTGGAGCCCCCCCAAAAGTAGTCATGTCTGTTTACCTATTTGTGCCTCCATGGTTTTACATTGTTACTGTAAAACTGTAGCCAGGCATGGTAGTGCATGCCTGTAATTCCAGCGCTTGGGAAGCTGAGGCAGGAGTTTGAGGGCAGGCTGAACTGTTTGATAAGACCTGTCTCTATAAGGCCAACAAAACAAACTATAATAAAACATAAATAAACATTTTTATTTTTTAAATAATGAAGTTAACTTATAAATGGGATGACCGTATGTCTAAGTTTGCGTAGGACAATCTGGTATTATGTGTGTTATCCTGAAAATTTAGTAATAGCTTTTCATTTATTCTCA